AATGCGGGAAAACCAAACAACATTCTCAGGTACATATCAGGTATTTAATAAAATAATAATAATAATAATAATAAGAAACCTGGCGTCGCAAAAAAAAAAAAAAATTTAAGTCGTGGCGCCAAACATCTCGTTTCACAAACGTGGTTACAAAAAACAATAATTTTTTTTCCCCCCCGAATTATGTCGCACGTGACTTTTTTTCGACCAATCAAAATCAATTAAAAAAAAAAAAAAAAAACAATTAAATTCGCGAATGAAAAATTCGAAATTAATTTTTTTAATTCGATTAATTGAATCGATAAATTAATCGATCGATCGATCGATCGATCGATTTATGATTGAATTTATAAAGTGTTAATCGTGGTCAAATAATAAAAATTATTATTATGTAATCATCTGTTTTTTTTTTTTTTTTTTTGATTATTATCACCTGACATTTTGTCACCGTTTTCACGCCTCCTTTTCACGACGTCATCGACGCCATTAAAAAAAAAACCGTTAAAAATTAAAATCGTTTACATTTTTAAATTTTGTACATCAAATTTATAACCTTTTGAAAAAAAATTAGTAAAACGAAAAACGACGCCATATTGTCTATCGATTACCGCGCACTTAATTACCCCCACGTTAAATCGATAAAATTTCAAAAAAAAAAAAAAAACGTTTTAAATCGTTATTTAATTAATAATAATAATAATTATTATTATCATTATTATAACACGAAATCATTATTATTATTATTATTACGGCTATCAGATAAAATATATATGAAAACTTAACGATAAATTTATTTATTTTAAAAATCAAATCTTAACGTATAATAAAATAATTACGATTGAAATCTACTTCCACGTTAAAATAAATAACGGATTATTTATTATTATTATTATTATTATTATTATTATTATTATTATCGGTCACGTAAAAAATTATTCATTCCGCTCTCTTTTATTCCTTTTCGTCCGTTTTTTTTTTTTTTTTTTTTATAAGGCAAAAGAAAAAAAGAAATCATATCGTTTATTTTCCCGTGTCATTCACGTGTCACTAGTAAACGTTAAAAATTTCGTTGACACTTTAAGTTTGTACATGATACGACGACACGTTGAAACCGGAGCGTAACAAACAAACAAACAAAAAAAAAAAAAGGAGAAATTACATATAGAAAAAAATCCGACAAACGGATTAAAAAAAATTAAACAACGTTTTTAATTGAATAATAACTCGTCTGAGCTTTTTTTTTTTTTCTTTTTCTTTTACCACGAGAATCCTATCAAAATCCTTCGGAAAATTCGACTGAATACGGAAAACAGAAAATTTTCCTTTTTTTTTTTTTTTTTTTTTTTGCGTAAATCGAATAAAGAAAACCGACAAAATTAACGCAGGAAGTAAAAAAAAAAAAAAAAAAATACCCGCGGGTGTGTATACCCGGGATTTAATATATAAATTTTCACAAATTCTAACCCCCTGTCAGTCACGGGTACCCCCACGTATATTTAAAATTTAAAAAAAATTTTCTCGGATGTAAACAAAAAAAAAAAAAAAAAAAAAAACAAATTACACGTGTGCCATTATGATAACAACGTTCGCATCATTCAAACATTTTCAAGTTTTCAACCCTCACCAAATCGCCTCGCACCCCCCCCCCCTCCTTAAATAAAACGTTTGGATTTGATCTCTACCCCTACCCCACCTCACCTCACCCCCCGTGAGAAAAATAATAGAGAGAGAGAGAGAGAAAAAAATTTTCCGGGGAAAATAAAAAATAAAGTCTGAATTTTTATTGCAACTCAAGTCATCATCGTCACAGCTCCTGCTATTGCTGTTGCTGTTGCTGTTACTGCTACTGAATGTTTTATGAGAAACCAAGGCAAAAGGAAATTCTGGACCAATTTGTCATTGTCTCAAAAACCTTTGTAGTGAGCTTTTAGTGAAACTGTTGTCAGTCCTTCATTGACAAACATTATGTTCAATCAACGTTTCGACTAATATTAACTCATATTATTTTATGTTCCTTTCAGTTTGAAGTGATGTTAAATTTTAAAACTATCACAAATATAAAGCAATGGATGATTTTGAACAAGGTAAATTTAATAATTTTCACGAAATTTTTTTTTTTTAAATAATTTGTTTACGCTTTTCCGATTTTTCTTTTTTTCGCTATTTTTTTTTCCGCTTTTTTTCGGTTTTATCGCGTCGAGAGAAAATTTTTTTTTTTTTTTTTTTTTTTTTTTTTAACTTGCGGCGACGAAGGGAAAAAAAAAGAGAAGAAGAAGAGGAAAAATGGAAAAAGGAGGAAGTGAAAGAGAAGGAAAATTGAAAATCGTGTTTTTACCCTTGAAATGATGATTTTCCGAGAAAACGCGAGTTTTCCCCCCCCCCCCCCTTCGAGTTCTACTAATAAAAATGGCGAAAAAAGGTTTTAATAAAAAAATTTTTCGATGAAATTATCGCGTTGAAAATTATTTTATGGCGGGGGGGGGGGTGGGAAGCGGTTTGAAATCTTCACCGCGAAATACTTATTTAAAAAATAATAATAATAATAATAATAATAAAAGAGTGATGATGATGATAATGATGATGATAATAAGAAATGGTAAACACATTTCGTGACGTTATGTTCTCAGAGATTGATTCAATTACTTTTAATGATGCTGTGGATGAACTTGCAAATGGATTGTTGCGATTTATATAAGAAAAATAGGAAAAAAAAAAAAAAAAAAAGAATCTTTTTAAGCATGAAATGAGATTGAATAGTTGAATCGTATTGTTGTTGATGATGATGATGATGATGATGATGATGATGATGATTCAAGCCTAAATTTTGAATGAATAACTATTGCAAAAGTCACAATTTACTTTTTGAATTTAATTTTTTTTATTAATACGATTCGCGTTTTTTTTGTTTGTTTGTTTGTAGCGACAAACGAAATCGAATATTTAAAAAAAAAAAAAAAAACAATCGGGTAAAGTTACTTCCGTCCGTTAAATTAATAAACTTTCTCAAAATAATTAATTAATTACACGTTAAAATCTATAAAGGATTCATTTGGATAATACAAAACAAATGAAAATCTCTCTCTCTCTCTCTCTCTCTTTGAGGTTTCAAATTTCCCCCCACCCCACCCCCCGTTCCGATCGTACCTGATGACAGTTTGCGAAATATATTTATTTATTTACAAGTTTTTTAAAGGATTAAAAATAAAGCTTAAAATGTTTGACCTAGAAAAGGGTGGCGCTTCCTCTAACCGATTCAATATAATTATTCAGGTATCGAGAAGGTCAACTCGGTTGTTTTGATCGAAAAAACATTCGGTAACAATATGCACGGAAACTTTGAAAAAATAATAATAATAATAATAATAATAATAATGATTTTTCTATTTCAGTGTGGGATCATGTTTCTCACAGTCCGGCTGGTATGAATTGCACGCCTCCCGCAATAGACGATTTTCCAAAAGATGTATTTACCGAAAAACAAAGGCAAGATGGCGCCGTTATACTTCACGTAACCGCTTCACTGTACCTATTTGTAGCCCTCGCAATAGTCTGTGATAAGTACTTTGTTCCTGCCGTCGAAAAAATATGCCAAGGTTCGTCTTGTTTATTATTATTATTATTATTATCATTATGATATGAAATTTTAAATGTTTTTTCTGTTGAAAGCTCTAAACATGTCAAAAGATGTGGCGGGAGCAACGTTTATGGCAGCTGCAACGTCAGCACCTGAACTTTTCGTTAACGTAATTGGAACTTTTATCACAGAGGGAGACATCGGCGTGGGTACTATCGTCGGAAGTGCTGTTTTCAATATTCTTGCAGTTGCAAGTTGTTGCGGAATAGGAGCTGGAACCGTATGGATAATCATTTTGTTTTCCTTTTTTCCTTTTTTCCTTCGTCATCGTGACCGCAAATATATTTGTTTCAGGTTGTGCCCTTAGACTGGTGGCCTCTCACGAGAGATTGTCTCGGTTACGGTGTCACTGTTGCCATATTAATATGCATAATACACGACGAGAGAATCGAATGGTACGAAGCTCTTGTCCTCGTACTTCTTTATATTGTTTACATAGCGATCATGTATTGGGACAAAGCCATTCAAAGATGTGCCAGAAGGATTTTACGATTAAATAATAAAAAAACGGGAGCGACCACCGCCATCGGTGATGTAGAATCAAATAAAAGTAAATAAATTTTGTTGGATTTGGGGGGGAGGGGTGAAATTAATTTTTTAAACATACGACAAATGGATTTCAGATGAAACGGATGTTAAGAAAGGTACCACGACGATTGGTTTTAACGAAACGAGTGACACTAAAAAAATCGTGTCGTTAGAAGATTTATCCGTTCAAACACCACCTCAATGTCAAACGCATATACAACAATCATCTGGACCGGGACAACAACAAAATGGCGCCGTAAAAAATCAAACGTTGAAACAAGAAGTTTTCAAAGAAAAAAACGAACAGGAAACGGATGAAAACGACAGTACGTAATAATAATCCCCCCCCTTTTTTTTTTTTTTTAAATCGAAAAATCCTTATCCTTAACCTGAAATTTTTCAGGTCCAGTTTTCGGTCCTCTTTTCGAATGGCCTTGTAAACAATCATGTTTGAAACAAATTATTTGGATCGCCGTTTGGCCGATGAGATTAATTTTCTTCGTCAGCATACCAGATTGCGAAAAACCAAAATATAAAAAATGGTTTCCGTTAACGTTCATCATGTGCATCATATGGATCGGAAGTTTATCATACGTCGTGGCATGGATGATAACGATAATAGGTGATTGTAAAAACAAAACCTGTACGACAAAATTCCCCAAAATGAAATAATCATTCACGAAAACTTGCGAAAATTTTCAGGTGACACGTTAAAAATTCCGGATTCCGTTATGGGCATAACATTCTTAGCAGCCGGTACGAGCGTTCCAGAAGCCGTGTCGAGTGTCATTGTCGCCAAACAAGGTGAAAACTTTTCTTCTTTTTTTTTTTCTTGGGGGGGGGAGGGTAATTCCCGGTAAAAACCTCTTATGGGAAAATCCTTAAAAACTTAATAATAATAATAATCGTGACGGCGGATCACAACGTAAAAAAAAACTAATAATAATTTTCTCATTATCCGAACGGAATTTAAAATTTCAAAATGGCGTCGTTCCGTGTACTTAAAAAAACGTAATTTCCACGTTAAAAACGTGGCGGCAACATATTTCATTACACACACACGCGTATAGTTTATAATTAGAATTTTTCCAGTAGTTTTATTATCATTTTTTTTTTTTAATGTTTCCAGTTTTTTCGCGAGATTTAAAATAAAATGAGGAAAAAAAAAAAAATAAGCGTAATTCCGTATCATCATTTCGTCAGAGTTTAAAGTTCGATTTAAAAAATTTCCCGCCATTCTTTTGTTAATTAACAAAAATGATGAAAATCCACAGAAATTTTTTTTTTTTTTTTTTTTTAAACAATCCAACGAACTATCTGATTACAATAAATGATGATGATGATGATGATGATAATAATAAATAAATAAATAATGATGTTTAGGACATGGATCGATGGGCATATCGAATTCCATAGGTTCGAACACGTTCGACATTCTTTTGTGCCTCGGATTGCCTTGGCTGATAAAATCCTCGTTTTTACCAATAAATCCAGGACGTCATTTCGTGGGTATCAATTCCAGAGGATTAGAATATAGCGCGATATCTCTCTTATCATCTCTCCTATTACTTTACGCAACTTTTTATTCGAATAAATTCAAATTGGATAGAAAAGTCGGACAAATATGTCTTCTCATGTATGCCGTTTTTTTAATATTAGCATCACTCATTGAATTAAACGTTTTTTTCGATGTCAATCTACCGACTTGCGGTCGATAAGATCACGCACGGACACGCACACGTGCAAAAACACGCACAGTTCTTTTGTTTTTTTATTAAAATAATTTTTTTTGTAACTATTAAAATAAATATAAAAAAAAAAAAAAAAAAAAAACTTTCATTTTTCGACTTTTTTAAAAATTTTTTCTTGTATCCTTTTCCGGTTTTATGGTTTTCAAATTCCACGTTAATTTCCTGTCGTCGTCGTCGTCGACGTCATCATCATCCTCGACAAGTTTCTTTTCACTTTTTTTTTTTTTTTAAAAAAAACAATTCGATCGAGTTTGTTTAATTTCTAATAACGAAAAATTTCACTTTTACTTTTTCTTTGCCAACAACAAAAAAAAAAAAAGGCATTTCCTACAATTTCCGGTTCGAGTTTCAACTTGTTTTATTTATTTATTTTCAAGTAGTGATGATGATGATGATGATGATGATGATAATTTTGTAACTCCTTGTAAAAATTTTTAATTACATTCAAACCGAAGTAATAAAAATAATAATGATAATAATTTTCTCTCCAGTTTTTTTTTTTTCTTTTTTCACGCCGCCAAAAAATTTCCATGAGTTTGACTCGTCTCCATCATCATCATCATTATTTTCTTCGTTTCAAATCGTAGCAATAATAATAATAATAATAAAATTTTCTCCTTTGTAAAAAAAATAAAAAATTTATAACGAGAAGACTTCACGTTTTTTTTTTTTTATAAAACGAAATTTATAATCCAATTTTTGCACGCACACGCACACGCACACGCATTTACACACGTTTTATAAATGTCCGTTTTTTTGACAACCTTTCAAGGTAGGTCAGAGGATTTCAAATTTTTTTGGCACGTAATTTAAAAATTTAAATTATTAACATGGCGATCGTTAACAAAAAAAAAAAAAAAAAAAAGCGTGTTTCGACAACGGATTTTTTTTTTTTTTTTACCTGCCAATCGAAAAAAATCTATAATTACGGATAAATGATAATAATAATAATGATAATAAAAAACGTGGAATTTTTTTATATTTTTTAAACTTGTTATTACGGCGTCAGTTACACATTTTTAAAATCTCCCGTGTAAATGAGTGCGTGCGTGCGTGCGTGCGTGCGTGATGATAAGGTCATGACTAAGTCAAGGACGGTATGCCAATTCTTAAAGAATTTTAATTCGTCTTCTGCTTCTTCATCATCATCGTCAGGTTTTCGTAAAAGAAGGTCCGATTGAATTTTTCCTTTTTTTTCTTGCATTAAAAACAAAAAATCGTGGTGATACTCGTGACTTGGTATTATTTTTTTTTTTTGCGTCACACAAAAATTTATTTCACGGTCAACGACGTAAATTCGAATGGGGGGGAAGGGGAGACAAACGCAAATTTCGATTCTTCCATCCTCCCCCTCTCCCCAATATAAAAATTCAATTCATTTCATAACGAAAAGAAATTTTTTTTTTTCAAGTTTCCAGTTTTTTTTTTTTTTTTTTCGTACCCTTAACATTTAATTTTCATTCGAACGTTCATTTAATTAATTAAAAACAATTAATAATTTATGTAAATTATTATTATTATCATTATTAAATATATGTAATCCACGCAAGAAAAACAAAATAAATAAATGAAAAATTGCGTGGATTATGTGGTTTGCGTGCGTGCGTGTGCGTGCGTGCGTGCGTGCGTTCAGAAAGTTGTTTTTTTTAAAAAAAATTATTTTCTCCCGATTTTTCTTTTTGTCGTTGTCGCTGGCGCCGCGAATGACATCGTCCAATAAAAATTAAGTGCGTAAATAATAATAATAATAATAATTTGTACTCCCGCCGACAACCGAGTTCGAATTTTAATTTTTCATTACTTTAAGTTATATATAAAACAACGCCATTTTTAAGTACTCGAAAAAAAATTATTACGGTATTTTTTAAAAAAAGTAAACAACTTTTTGTCATTAAGTTAAAAGACAACAAATGAGAACGTCAACCGTTATAAGAATTTTTTTAAAAAACATCCAAACCTGATTTTTATAATAAAATAAATAAATAAATTTTTTTTTTTTTAAGTAAAACCTAATTACGATGATGGGATTCTCCACCATTTTTACTGTTAAACCTGGTCAATGAAGAAAAAATTTTTTTTTTGAAAAAAAAAAATAAGCGAGAACGGGGCTTTCTTTTTAACGGGAGAGAGAGAGAAGGGGGGGGCGTTACGAGATATAAAAATTTATCGTAGCGGGTAGCAGGTCGAAAAATTAAAAATAAATAACCCGATTACTCAAAAAAAAAAAAAAAAAATGGGTTAAATAATTTTTTGTAATATACCCTTCAAGTGGTACGAGGCGTGATATGTATTACAAAAACATGGGCACACCTTCTCAGAAAAAAAAAAATTAAACGTAATAAACCTTGTTTTCTTGGCAATAAGAACAAATTTGATATCGTCCAAAGGGAAAAACTATTACAACAATTTGTTTTGTCATCAATTTCCCCCCCCCACCCTCTCCCCGACAAATTAAGGTTTATTTATATAAAAATAAACTCACCGCCATTAATTTCCACACGCGGTATAAATTTTCTATTCTTTTCGTGCGTTTAATATCCATCGTAATGTAATTTTAAATCCATTTAAAATATCTGAAAAAAAAAGAAAAAAAAAAATTTCCATTAATTATTTAATTGGTTTCGTTACGCATGATGGTAGCAACAACAACAACAACAACAACAACAACAACCAAATTAGTTAATGACTTAAACATTAATAAAAAATAGGTAACGATGTTTACGTTACTGACCCGGGTAACAAAGTCATTACATGTCATACATACAAAATGAGTTAAATAAATAAATAGTCGAATAACAAAAACATTGAATAAATTTTTTTTGGGGTCACGTGTTTATTTTTATTTATTTTATTTTTATTAATTAAATTAAATTAAATTAAATTTTTTTTTTTTTTTTTAAAATCATCGAAAACGTTCGAAAATAAATAAATAACGTTATTCTTTAGTACGTTATTGTAAAAAATGGCGCGATTGTCGTGGTTGTAGATAAAAAACAACGCAAAAGTTTCCGCCATTTTTAAATATCGTTTCCCGTTTGGAAATGTGTATCGATAATAGAATCCCCCTAGGGAAGGGAAGGGAAGAAAAAAAGGATTTCGTTCCGTTTTTCCCGCGTCGAAAAAAAAAGGGGAAAAAAAAGGAATTTTCGTTAGGGTTTTTTTCAACATGTCGAAGGACGTCTTGTGTCATTTTAAATAACAATAAACGAAACAGCGGAAGCGTTTTATTTATTTAAAAAAATTTAAAATTATCAGACTTTGTGTGTTCGTAAGTCGTTTTCCTTTGATTTTTTTTTTTCCCCTTGATTAGGGACGACATTTATATGTATTCGTTTCCTATTTACCTCTTTTAATAACGTCTCTTCTAATAAAAAAAAAAAAAATAAATAAATAAATAAATATATATATTTATATTCACGCGTGCTTTTTTTTTTTTTTTCGTTACCGGTTTTTTTTTTAATTATTTATTTATTTATTTATTTATTATTATTATTATTATTATTATTATTATTATTATTATTATTATTATTATTATTATTATTATTAAATTTTACGCGTTAAAAATAAAAAAGATTTAAAAAAAAAAAAAAACTCCTTCCGGAAATTCAATGACGCGACGATTATATTGAATAATATGAAACCTTGTCATCGTCCTTAATGGTTTTTTTTTTTTTTTTTTACATTCGGGATCACGAAAAAAAAGCAAAAGACGGAATAGAGTGGGGGGTGAGACGAAGAAGGGGATTTAAAATCGGGAAGAATAAAAAAAAAAAAAAATCCCGTGAGAAAATCGTTATTGATCGTTTATCCAATTAGATATTTTATTACAATTAAAGAAAAATTTTCTCCATAAGATTTTTGGAATATTTTTAAATCAAACACGATAGGGTAACGTGTAAAGACAAAAACAAAATGGCGGTTGAAAAAAATAATAAATTTTTTTTTAAAATTCGAGTCAGTAATTAAATTTAAAAACGTATTAAAATTATTTTAAATATTTTATTAAGTAGTTTTTTTTTTTTTTTTTCGTTACGCGCGTTCATGTTTAAAATAAAAAATAACAAAATGGAGAAAACGTTTCGTACTCTTC